TCAAACTTACACTTAAAGCATGACTCCGAAGGTGTTCCTGCCGAGTGAAACGTTTCCCACACGTCTCACAGGGGTAGGGTCTCTCACCTGTGTGAGAGCGAATGTGCCGTTTTAGTATTCCTTTCTGTTTAGCCGTGTAACATTTGTGAAGCTTGATTGGCACAACTAACACATCACCTTTTGAAAGAAAACACAGTGCATTAGATTAGGCAGTTCACCAATGTTAGCTATGTTGCCTTCTTATCCTCCTTGCTGTAAACCTGAGTCAAGATAACTGGCTTTCCCCTCCTCTTGTATTGTGCTTACCTGGAATTTCTGTAGGTTGTGCAGTTTCAGAAGACATTCGTGCAGCTGCAGATGATCAAGTCCCTTGAAAATCAGCTTGCCTATACTTACATAGCTGATACTCCAAGGGAGTTGGCTCACAACAGAAAAACAAATTAATTTTATTTTAAGAAGCCATTTAATTAAGTGCCAAAAATTTGCTTTTAGCGCAGTGGGGTCTCTGCACTATCTCAGCCGTAGAAAGTCTCCTTTTTTTTTTTTTTTTTTAAGATACCATTAGCGTTAAACAGCATTAGAAACTAAAATCTTTAACACAAATTACAGGTAGAAGTAGTGCAATGTTTCCCATATGCTTTTACAATGTGCATAAATTTAGATGTGGGGAACCCATCTAAAAATATGAATGCTTGTTTCTACTGCCATTCACTTTAGCCTTTCTTTTGGCCATAACAAGATGAAGGACTCCAGTACATTTGCTGATGATATTTTACTTCTCCTAAAATCAGACTACATGCACACAAGTAATATGTAATTTATGAAGTCAGATGCAAAAATAGAGAATTAAATTTGAAGATCACATTTTACTAAACATGGGTATTGCCAAGTTTTTCAGCCCAGATACGAGGTTCATTTCCAACATAAAGGTCGAGATGTTACACTAAAAGATTAGTTTTCCCTGTTTCAGGTCGTGGTTCAGGAAAGTGTTTGCATACCAAGCCTTGAGCTCTTTAACAATTACACCAAAGTAGGTGGGGCTGTAGAACATTCCTTGCACTAAGGTTTGTCCAAGCCAGTCTCAAAAAAAGGAGCAGCTAGTATTAACGTGTGGCTATCAAGGGAAATCCACCTCACCCAGTCTTGGACCTTCACGAGGTATTGCTAATCCCTGCTGGACATTTACAGCTCCATTTAAAAAAAAGAAAGCAGTTCTTAGACCTGCCTTGCTTCCAGGCTCTCTAGAGCCCGTTCACTCTCCAGCAGCTGTAAAGGGGAGCAGGATGACTGGAACAGATACGGACACTTGAAAGTAAGTGGCATTTATCTCATCTGTCAGCCTGAACGCGTGAGAGAACCACTCTTTTATCAGGACTTTGTATTTCTCATTCCTGGTGTCTTGTGAAAATGCTAAGATAGCAGGAGCACTAAAAGCTGCAAAGAGATTACTTCCATTCTGCTAAATGCTTACGCTGGTCAGTTTTAGCAAAGAAACGTAACTGAATGCAATGTTTGGGGTTTTTTTCCCCCACTCCTATTTAAAGAACATCTACTGTTAACATTTCTAGTATGTTGTCATAGCGCCTGATGTTATCTATCAAATTCTAGAAGCATTTCCCTTTTAATGATTAACAGTCTGAAGATTTTAAGAGGGAAAAAAGTAAGCAAAGTTTGTGTGTTAGATGCTCTTGCCTTGCTACATGTCAAAAACCATAGGCATGATCTGGTAACAGTACTCTGTTCTGATAACTTCAGTCTTTTGGTGACTGTAAGACTGGATATGTGATTTTATCCGATTCCTTATTTTAAAGCAGTGAGAGAATGTATTGGTTTTATTGGCTTTAAGATCACACATGCATGCTTGAGCTGGAAATGACATGAATGTAAGCTTGCTATCTAAAGTCAAATACTCAGTGAAAGATTTCCTGTCTGTTGCCCACACCATTATTGCATTTGTCACATCCTGAACGGCTATGGCACTTGCAGCATTTGTCAGAGCTGCATCCCATCTTTGTAAGGCAGTTTGGATGAGGCAAGTTGTGCACCAGTGTTACCGTATGCAGATAAAATGCCCAAATCCTTATTGTCTACTTCAGGAGAAACACATGCGGACATGACCTTCTTCTCCAGGTCCCCAACGCAGCTGCTAGGAGACATTCCTGCCAGGGTTAGACATCCCAACAGGCGCTGGGCTTGGGAAGGAGCGGAACCCCAGGTGACCAGCAGTTGAAAAGCGAGTCTGACTCGAGGTAAAAAGTTAAGTCTCGTCTTTACGCAATGCCACAGATTTTAAAGCCTTCAGTGCTCTTAAAGAATTTCTAGCTATCACTCAGTGTTGAGTAAAACTGCTTTCTGCCCTTCTGAAGTTCAAAGCAAGTAACAGCAAACAACTGTCATCCAGCAACCAATGCGCCGGCGGCAGCTCCAGTGGAATAAGCTACTTCTGGTCTGTCAGGTTCTACAGCAGATCCCTCTTGTGGCAGCTCAACTTATCCTTCCGATCGCTCTCTGTAACACTAATGTTATGAGAGGAAGGTTCTTGTTAAAAATTCTCCTGCCATTCAACAAGGTCCCAAATGAGACTGTTTATTAAGGCAGCGTCACCAACACCGAGCTCCAGGACCTGTTTCAAAGAGACTGTAAAAGCTGTGAGAAATACTTACCTCCCAAGCGCTGCACTGAATAAAGGAGTACAGCTTTCTTTTGAAGTCCAGAACAATAGTTTATTTTGCTACGGCATAATATTCAGCAATATATTCCTGAACAAGAACGAGAGTAACAAAGCAAGTCGCACAACTAAGCGGTTTCCTCCTCAATTATACAGACTACACCCCCCTGGAGTCCTCTCACCTGTGTCCTCACCATACCAGTCGCTGTGAATGTCCATCATGGAACTCATGGCTACCCCTGCATCCTCTGGCCTACCCTCAAAGCCCCGGACAAAGTGATGAACCACATCATCCTTCCTCTGAGCTGAGCTGTTGCGCAACAGGGCCTCTAGGAATTGTTTCATGTGATAGTTATTGCAGGCCAGGTCCATTGCCTGCCCGCCGTGCAGCCCCTCTTCCATCTGCTCGAGGGACAACGGAGTCGGATACTGCGGCAGCCGGTCGTATACTGCCGCAGCCGTTCGCCCACTTCTACCTCTACTTCATCCGAGTCAAACTCTACTTTGGGTTCCACCCCCTTGGGCAGCGAAGAATTGACGTCGCCTGGAGAGTCGCTGCTCACGGGGTCTCTGACCACGAGCTCCAGCGGATGGCAGCTGCTGCACTCGCCGCAGGGAGGGTCTCTCTGGCAATCCGAAATCCTCTCCTTTTCCTGCAGGGAAGAGACGGAGGCAGAGCACTGGCTCTTTGAGCTGTACGAGGGGCCCTCCCTCGCAGAACTAGCGCTCCCGCTATCAGCCTGATAGAAAGCGGCTTCTCTCTCTATTTTCCTGCAAATATCTAACGACGACCTTATGTACGTTTTGCAGAAGTTGACCACATCGGTCATCTGCAAATAGCTAGCCGCGGACATCACCTCAATAACGTTTTCCCCACAGAGATCTAGCTTCCCGGAATAAAGGAAATCTAGGATGATGGAGAAGGCCTCCGAGGTGACGATGTCCAGCGAGGCGGTGCTGTGGCGTCCGCTGTCTTGGATGTAGTGGATCAGCAGGGCTCGGAAATAGCCGCTGTTGGCGAACAAAATGTTTTTGTGCGCCTTGAAGATCCTCCCCTCCACGATGATGCTGCAGTCGCAGAAGAAGTCCCTCTTGCGCTGCTCGTTGAGCTCTCCCAAAAGCTTGGTGTAGTACGACTG